GAAAGTAGCCCAGCACAGATCTGAACACAGACACTAGTGGACTAAAATAAATACACTTATAAGTAAATATGTGAGTTCATTTCTGGCACACTTTAGAGTACTCCATTCCAAGAAGAAAAATAACCACGTTTCTTGAAATAGAAAATGTGGACCAAAAATGTGGAAAAATAATAATGGCTTATAGACAGATATGTTGAAATTAATATGTTGCCAGAACTATTAAAGATCTTGTGGTATTAAAGGAATGTTATTTTGGGGGCCGGTGCTGTGGCGCAGTAGGTTAATCTTCCGCCTGCGGCGCCAGCATCCCATATGGGCACCGGTTCTAGTCCCGGCTGCTTCTCTTCCGATCCAGCTCTCTGCTACGCCCTGGGAAAGCAGTAGAAGATGGCCCAAGTCCTTGGGCCCCTGCACCCACGGGGGAGACCCAGAAGAAGCTCCTGGCTTCAAATTTGCACGGCTCCAGCCGTTGCAGTCAATTGGGGAGTGAACCGGCAGATGGAAGACCTCTCTCTCTGTCTCTGCCTCTCTCTGTAACTCTTTCAAATAAATAAAAGAAATCTTTTTTTAAAAAAAGGAATGTTATTTTTGCCCTTATGCTCACAATACTTTTTACTCCCCCAGTAAAACATCTGGCTTTAAAGAGTTTAGCTTCAAAAAAAAAAATCATGGGAGCCAGCACTGTGGGGCAGCAGGTGAAGCTACCACTTAGAACACCGGCAACCCATCTCCCACTGCCAGCTGGAGTCCTGGCTGCTCCACTGCCAATCCAGCCCCCTGCCAATGCACCTGGGAGGCGGCAGAGGACAGCCCAGGTGCTGGGCCCCTGCACCCATGTGGGAGAGCCAGGTGGAATTCGACTCCTGGTTTCAGTCTTGCCTAGCCCCAGCCACCAAGGCTATTTGGAGACTGAACCTGTGGGTGGAAAATCTTTCTCTGTCTCCGCCACCATTTCTATCACTCTTCCTTTCAAATAAATAAATCTTTATAAAAAATGACTAAGTAAACTTTTTTTTAAAGATTTATTTATTTATTTGAAAGTGAGACTTCCACATAGAGAGGAGAGAGGGAGGTCCTCCATCCAACGGTTCACTCCCCAGTTGGCCACAACGGCCAGAGTTGGGCCGATCCGAAGCCAGGAGCCAGGAGCCTCTTCCGGGTCTCCCACATGGGTGCAGGGGCCCGAGGACTTGGGTCATCTTTCACTGCTTTCCCAGGCCACAGCAGAGAGCTGGATCGGAAGTGGAGCAGCTGGGACTAGAACTGGCGCCCATACGGAATGCCAACGCTTCAGGCCAGGGCGTTAACCTCCTGCGCCACAGCGCCTGCCCATAAGTAAACTGTTAATTTCTAAAAGCCTATTAATGTACACTGATAAAATCCAAATGGCAAAACACAATCCTTATCAGTTTTCTTGCACGCATGACTGACAGGGACAACAAACCACTCCTCTGGCGTCCTGTGGCCCCATGCAACACAACTCAACACTGAGAACAGCAGTGCCAGGACCCGACCCAGCCCTGAGCGTCCCCTGCCCCCGCCCCCCGGCCCCGTCCTGCTCCGCGACACCACTGGAGCTCCACGGCCCTGTGCCTGCTCAGTCTCCTCAGGGCCGCCCTCTCGGTCTCCTGTGTCGCTCCCTCTGCTCCCCGGGCCTGCACAGCTACTCCTGCCCTGGGCACCCTAGGCTCAGTCCTCCGACCCGGCCCAGTGTCAAACCCAAGTGGACTCTCCAGGCCGGGCCTCTCCCCATCCGCACCCCTGCATCTCAGCTGAGCAGGTGAGCGGCCTGGCCAGACCCCACTCCTCCTCCAGGGTCTCCGCCCCTTCCCATGGCTGAGGCCCAAACCCCGGCACCTCCCGGCGTGGGCCCTCACCTTCAAAGCCCCTTTGCGGGCCCTGGCCCCCACGACGTCCAACTTCCTGGCGGTGGTGCCGCTTCTACCCCGGAGGTCTGCTCATGGTCTGGGCGGCCAAGTTCCTGCTTGAGCTCGCCCTCGGAGGGTGGCCCACACCCCCTCATCCCTTCGCCACTCTACAGCCTGCTTTTGCCAGCTCCGAGTCACTGGCGCCCCCAACCCAGCTCCAGCAGCTCAGCTCAGTACCTGCCTGTCGCGGGTACTGACTGAGGGAAAGCATAGATGGTGCCATCTCCCGACCCAGGCCCGCACATCCCGCTGCCCGGTTCTCTGGGTTGACTGCTGCCATCTTCCCAGCACCCGCACACGGCCTCCATGTCCTCCCCAGTGCTCTCCAGGGGCACGCCCTGGTCACTAGCTTGCTGCCCGCCCTGGGGAGCTGTGACAGCACCAGCGCGGACGTCAGCACGCCTGGGACACACGGCAGCAGCCACTGTCCAGGCAGTCCCCAGTAGGTCTAGGCAGCAGGAGACACGGGCAGTTCTGTTTTGGTTTGCAGTGCCCAGCCCCTCTGCTCTCTGGCCTTGTCCACCTCTGCTGGTTGCTCTGTTCTTCCCACTGTGCAGAGAAATGGACAGCCGTGCAGATCACTTACACAGCTGCTACAATCAATGGCGGGTTTTCAATTCCATTAGCACACTACTCTGAAAAAAAAAAGTTTTTTTTTTTTCAAAAAAAAAATTTATTGGGGCTGGCACTGTGGAGTAGTGGGTAAAGCTGATGCATGCAATGCCACCATCCCATAAGGGCGCCGGTTCTAGTCCCAGCTGCTCCATTTCTGATCCAACTCTGCTATGGCCTGGGAAAGCAGTAGAAGATGGCCCAAGTCCTTGGGCCCCTGCACCTGTATGGGAGACCTGGAAGAAGCTCCTGGCTCCTGCCTTCGGATCAGCGTAGCTCCGGCCATTGCGGCCATCTGGGGAGTGAACCAGCGGATGGAAGACCTCTCTCTCTATGCCTCTCCTCTCTCTGTGTAAGTCTCACTTTCAAATAAAATAAATAAATCTTTTAAAAAATTTTTATTTTAAAGAATTACAGAGAGTAGGAGAGACAGAGATCTTCCACCTGCTGGTTCATATCCCAAATGCCCAGAATGGCCAGGCCAAAGCCAGGAGCTTCATCCAGGTCTCCTGTTGCAGGTGCAAGGGCCCAGGCACATTACCAGGGAGCTGGGTCAGAATTGGAGCAGCTGGGACTTGAACTGGCACCCATACGGGTGCTGGCACTGTGGACGGCAGCTCAACCCACTGCGCCACAGCTCAGGCCATACTGCATTGAATTTAAGACACGGAAGTTATCAGTTGCATTCTGGATTGAAGCTCTGCCTTGAGACACTGTGATAACTTCATTAAAACCCTGGATGGATGTCCATTGGCCAGAGGACGGAAATGAGGTGCCAGCTGTCAAGCCATACAGTGGGCAGGTCAAGGGACGACACTGTCACTTCAGAGGCCAGCTCGCTCTAGCCGAGCTGTGTTAAGAAAATCAAGAGATCAGGGCACGACCCGGGCCGTGCAGAGCAGGACTGCTGTGGACCTGCCCCCCTGGCTGGGCTCTTCCGTGCCTTTGTGTCTTGCTCTGTCCTGATGTGTTAAGAAAACAACCACAGGAGGCTCACTGTTCTGAGAAACACTTCTTCAAGCCTTCATTTCCTCATTTGATTCACTTCCTCCCTCTCACGGCAGTCAGTCGGTGTTGGAGGGGAGGGAGGAGGCCGCACTTATCTACACGGACCAGAAACGCTCTCCCACAGCTCGGCCCCTCCCGTTCCCAGCAGGAGGGTCAGTCCGGGCTCTGCCCCTTGCTGTGTGACCTGAGGGCTGGCTGGTATGCAGGCCTGGCTTCCCGGGGCAGGTTCAGGCCTGTCTTCTCCCGTGGATGGGGCCGCGGTGAGGAGCAGGTTGAAGGATTTGGAAGTGGTTTGTTTGCACAGCAGTGTGGGGTCACCGCTACCACATCTGAATTAGAAAGGGGGCGCTCTCCCTCCTCCCCTTGAGAGGCCCCCACCAAGGGACTAAGAGCTCTGGGTCAGAACAAAGGAAGAGTCCATCTGAGTGACACCCAAATACTGCGGAACAAGTTCAAAGCCACACTCCAGGAAGGCGCCGTCTGCTCACTTGCCGCTCCACCTTGGTTGTTTCCCTCTGCTTCCTAAAGCAAAGAGCCAGCGCCGACCCGGTGCCCCAGAAGTGGCATCTCCTGGCAGACGCCGCCTTGCAGACCAGCAGCACCTGCGAGCCCACAGAGGACACCTGCCAGGCGCATTCTGGAGTAAGTACTTCCCAGCTGTCTCGCTGATTCAGGCGTGCACTTTGCTTTCCGGCTAGCCGTTCTGGGGACGCACGCCCAGGCCCCCAGCCCCGGGCGGTAAGGAAACAGCCAGTGCAGCTGTGGCCTGGGAGAGGATGTGATGGGGCGCCAGTGTGAGCTGCAGCCCCGCTCTCTGGAAATAAGCGCCCTTGGGCAGGTGACTCAACCTCTTAACTTTCATTTCCGAGCTGTAAATCGAAGAACAATGGAGTACCTGGTTCTTAGGGCTCTTAACAGGCGTATGGGAGTTATCAATAACAGCAGCATGGCTGAACACCTCATTCGGTCCCCCAGCACACTCCCCCTGCACTGAGGACCCAGCCTTCCCCAGGCTCCCACAATTAGCTGGAGCTGGACTTCTGACCTGTTTGGGCACCCGAGGGCAGGGGTGGAGCTGAGCCCACTAGAGCTCCTGGCAGAGAGGCCATGCCCGGGAAAGGCGTGGCTTTGCGCCTGTCCCCCCTCACCTGGGCCAGGTGCCTCCTGCCTTCCCAGCTGTGGGACAGGTGGGGAGGCAGCCCGCCCGCCAGCCCTGTGCAGCATGGTGGGCACCGAGGCTGACACCAGCTCTGGAACCTCATTTCCAAGTCAGAACCTTTTTTTTTTTTTTTTTGACAGGCAGAGTGGACAGTGAGAGAGAGAGACAGAGAGAAAGGTCTTCCTTTGCCGTTGGTTCACCCTCCAATGGCTGCCGCGGCCGGCGCGCTGCGGCCGGCGCACCGCACTGATCCAATGGCAGGAGCCAGGAGCCAGGTGCTTTTCCTGGTCTCCCATGGGGTGCAGGGCCCAAGCACTTGGGCCATCCTCCACTGCACTCCCTGGCCACAGCAGAGAGCTGGACTGGAAGAGGGGCAACCGGGACAGAATCCGGCGCCCCGACCGGGACTAGAACCCGGTGTGCCGGCGCCGCTAGGCGGAGGATTAGCCTAGTGAGCCGCGGCGCCGGCCAAGTCAGAACCATTTTTGCACATGGAATCCAGGTGCCACACAGTGTTAGTGCGACAAGTGCTGCAACAGCACGCACTCTGAAGCTGTTTCCTAATCGGGGCTGTTTCTCTCGTGCGGAGGGACGGAGACTGACCCGGCCTGGGCCAGGGCATCGGCCACTGCGCCTGCTCTTTCTACCTGTTTGTCCGTGGCTGCGGGTGAGGACCTAGCGGGCCCTGCTGTTTGGGGCAGGACTAAGGAAACACACCAAGGTGGCTGCCCACCTGTGTTGCTGTGAGGCCAGGGAACACAGCGGCACACAGGCACCTCCTCAGGTTCCCACGATTTTGTGGACAGAGACAACAGCAGTCGCCATCTCCCTGGGCTGTGGGAGTTCAGTGGGCCCAGGGTCCACTGCTCCACCGTGGCAACTCTTATCATTTGTCAGGCTTTGGGCTGAGAAGGGCTGGGGGGCCTGGGACAGAGCTCTGTCTGCCTTGCCCTTTCAAGTCAGCCCTTGGAAGGCCTGAGCCTCACCAGGGACAGTGAGTCTGAGACAGCCCCTCCCCCAGCACACTCCTCTGCAGGCCCGGGCAGCTTTAGCCTGCCAGCAACCCAAGGAACACAAGGTTTTATCTGAGAAAACAGATAAGATAAAAATCATGCCTTTTAGAAATAAAGATTTAATCAAGACGAAGACATTTTTTCAGGATTAAGATAAATTTTTGAAAAGGAAAACAAATCCATAAAAACCTGAAACGGGTGAAACTGGTCTCCAGGCTCAGCTTCCCAAAATACACTGTAACATCCTCACCCCTGCTAGCTGCCCAGAAAGCACAGGCCCCAAACACCACACATCAGGGTTTTAAACTGCGCCTGAGGGGGACCGAGCAAGGAAAAGGTTCTCAGGGCGAAGAACTGCCGGGAGCAGCCTCGGAGGGAGGGGGCTGGGTTTTATAGGGAACTCGCATGGTGGGGGGGATACATGCAGGGCTGGGGTTTCATAGGGAACTCCCATGAGGGAGGTGGGATGCCTGTAGGGCTGGGGTTTTATAGGGAACTCTGCAAGGTGGGGGGGATACATGCAGGGCTGGGGTTTTATAGGGAACTCTGCAAGGTTGGGGGGATACATGCAGGGCTGGGTTTTATAGGGAACTCTGCAAGGGGGAGGTGGGATGCCTGTAGGGCTGGGGTTTTATAGGGAACTCCCATGAGGGAGGTGGGATGCCTGTAGGGCTGGGGTTTTATAGGGAACTCCCATGAGGGAGGTGGGATGCCTGTGGGGCTGGGGTTTTATAGGGAACTCCCATGAGGGAGGTGGGATATGGACTGACACGGGATGTTTCTGACACAGGGAGCCCCCAGGGCTGCCTGGTTTGTATCTGAGGCAGCAGTGGGAACAGAGAGGCACAGATGCCTCCCAGAACTGCCTGATTTATAGCTGGGGCAGTCGTGGGGACAGTGAGGCTCTCCAGGAACACTGTGCCTCTGTGTTTTGTGTTCCTGACGCCAGGGAGGAGTGGGGGGAGATGTCTCGGATCGGTGTGGATTCAGGGTTCTCACACCGCAGCCACAAGGAACCGAGTGTTGCCACACAGGCTTGTTCCTACCAAGCACACGTCGGGGCCAGCGCTGCCGCTGACCACACAGCATGGCGGGGACCGTGGCCGGCACCCCACCATCCGTGCTCAATACAAGCGTGCTCCAGACTATCCTGAAATCCAAGCAGATTTCTCACACTACCCATTTCTGCAAGCTTTGTGAGGACCCCTGGTGTTTGCCCTCAAAGATCAGTCCGGAATTCAGCCAGGGCTGGATGGGAGGGCAAGTGGGTGTAGGACCCAGAAGTTACTGAGGCCTAGGTGGCCACTGCCCTCCCCACAGAGCTTATCCTACACACCAGGAACCCTCCAGAACCCAAGGCCAGGTCTAGGCTAGAGCACGCTCAGGCCGGGTGTTTTGTTGACGGGGCCAAAGGGAAAGCCCGAGGCTGACTCCTGGGCCTCCCGGGACTAGCTTTCTCCTCCCCACTTCTGAGTCATCTCCATACAAATAGACCCTGATAAGGAATGGCCCATTGTCCCCTCCAGACTGGGGTGCTGGGGGAGGGGTGCCATTCAAATTCAGGCTGGGAGCCTGGCGCGCACCAGAGCTACGTGGGTGACCTGGAGGTGAGGATGTGGCTGTGGAGAGCAGCCCCACAGTAGGCCCCTGCCCTGAAGACCAGCCTGTGGGGATTTCCAGGGAAAGAGGGTGTCGGGGGCACGGGACCAGGGCAGAGCTAGGGGGAGAAGCGGTCCCTGCCCTAAGCCCCCAGGTGACCTTGGGAAGCAGAGACAAGGAAACCGCCAGTGATTTACACACAAACACGATAAAGCCAAAGGGGTGAGTAGGAGGAGAGGACCGGGACCCAGCCAGGGCCGACAGCTCCCTAGAAATGTGGCCTTGAAGCGAGGTGGATGATAGGCCTGTCCTGGAGGTGGAGGAGGAGTGAGAATGTGTTTAACGCTGGAAGGAGAGAGCCAAGGCCAGGAGAGGGGAGACAACGCGGGAGGCACCGCCTGCAGCCAGCCAGCGGGAGCGGGGCGAGCGCCCGGCTTCACGTCCGAGGTAGGTTGGCACGGGGCTGGGCTGGGCCTTCCCTAGCCTGCAGCGGCAAGGGCTCGCTGTGCTCCAGGTGGAAGGAGGCCCGGCCTGGCCGGCACCCCCTCCTGGGGGGGACGCTCCCTTGCGCCTCTCTGGCACCCAGCAGGGGAGCTGCGCAGGGGCAGGGCCAAGGTCCCACCTTCCCATACCTTGCATTCCAGTGAGCAGGAATGTGGCCAAACACTGGCTGGGGAGTTCTGTGAGTGCGCCCTGACTGCTCTTGATGGGAGTCACAGTTCTGCTGTATGTACATTTGGGAGACACTGTTTCAAGTGAGGCATTTAGAATAAACGACCACAGGCTGCCCGAGGGCACTCTCAGGTATGCGGGGTCTTCAGAAAGTCCACGGAAAATGTGTATTATCAAAAAAGAAACCCTATGGATTGCGCCCATCTTGGGGCACCAAAAGAAACTGCTGGGTTCTCTGTGAGCCTCCTTCCGTGCACCGCTCCGAAGCTTTCCTGTTGGGCTGTTACGGTCCACAGCTGCTTCCAGGCTGCTCACCGGGGTGACTTGCAGACAGCTGCCCTGATGCCTGGCTGCCCAGGGTGTGGGGACTGGGGGTGGAGCCATGTGTGCTGTTTCCTGACTTGCGGGGAGTGCCGGCTGCGGTGGGGATGTCCAACCCTGCCATCTCCATGCAGAAGGTCAGGAATCTCCTCTGGGCTTCAGCTTCTCCCAGGCATCTTCCCTCCCTCTTCCCAGCCCCAGGGCAGTACAGGGGTGGGTCAGGCTCCCCCGGGGGACCCAAATTTATTCTGCCTGAGATTAAGGCAGGGGGTGAGATAGATACACATACACACAGGAATCACCGGTACCCCCACCAGGCCACAAGACCACCTGTTCTGGGCAGGCAGTGGTGCACCTGGGAGGCAAGCTTAGCACCCACCCTCACCCGACGGGGCCTGTGGAAGGGGACAGTGAGTGAGGGGGAGCAGCAGTGCTGAAGGCCTGTGTGGTCTGCACGGTCTCCTGTGATGTAAAGGGGGCCCCACTGCGCTGACAGCAGCACGGTCACGGTCCTCCCTCTCAGAGTGACCTGGGGCTCTGGACATGCTCAGTGGTGGTCTGCACTGACCACTGTCCGGTGTCCTCAGCGCTGCGCACTTAACCCTACCTTCCCGCCCACTGCCAGTCCCACTTCACAGATGATGGAAGCTGAGGCACCCAAAGGCTAAGCAACAGCCGAAGTCAAACAGCTGTCGGGTAGCAGAGCTGGGAGCCCAGCCCAGGGGCCTCCGAGGTGCTGTGTGTCCAGGCTGCAAGGCGACCTGGACTCACTTCCGTCCCAGTCAAGGGCACTGCCCCCCCAGAGGGAATGTGGACCTTGTAAACAAAGGGCTCTGTTGACGCCGGGGCAGAGCTGGCGGCAGGGAAGGGTTTCCCCTTCTGCTTGTGCACCTGGAAGCTACTGTGTAATGGGGCAGTGGGTGTTCTGAGCAAGTTTTACCCAGCTCTGTGCTCCTCACGTGCAGCACACAGTCGATGCTTAGTAAGTGTGGGTTGAACACACAGATGAATCTAAACAATGCTTGATCTTGCGAATTTTACTGCACCACAATGAGCTAAATGTTTCAAATTTTTCTTCTATTGGGAAAAATATCTTAATGAAGATCCTTTGGGAATAGTCAGTATTTTCAATGTTTTTTTTAAAGAAACTCTTAATTTGCCTATTTTTGTATTTTAATAGGATGCCTTTTACTTACAGTTATTCACCCACACCTATTAAAATGCTTAGAATTCATTAGAAAGCCAGGGTGGCTTTAGGCTGCTGTGGGGGTGGGAGGCCTAGGCCCCTCCCCCCTGATTTCTGGCACTACTGGCTGGCTCACCATGAATGTGAGTCACAGGCGGCAGCTTCAAGCACACTCAGCTGGAGTTCTGAAGACGAGTTTCACTACTTCTAACATCTCACATGATGTGTTGGAGAGGAAGAAGGTTGTCTCTGCTCTCTTAAGTCAGTACCTGGGGCTGCAAATCAAACTGCTGGAGCAGGCAGTTGTGGCTCAGTGGGTTAAGCCACCACAGAGCGCCTGCATCTTGTATCAGACTGTCTGGGACTGGGGCCTGCCTTGGCTCCCAATCCAGCTTTCTGCTACTGCACACCCTAGGAGGCAGCAGTGGTGGGCCTAGCACTTGAATTCCTACCACCTACCCATGGGAGGGCCCAGGAGGGAGTCCTGGCTCCTGGCTTTGGCCTGGCTCAGCCCTGGCTATTGTGGGCATTTGAGACATGAACCAGAGGATGGAAGATTTCCTTCTGTCTCTCCCTCTCTGTCACTCTTCCTTTCAAATAAATGAATGAAACTTTTTTTTAAGTAGATTAACAGGGACAACAAAGGCGCACAGTCTGTCAGGAGTGCAGAGAGGAGGTGGGCTCGGCTCGTGCCCCTCCCAGCTGCACTGCTCCAGGTCTTTCTGCAGAATCACCTCGGCAGCGAGACCTCCTCTCTGACCGCAGGGTGCCCCCTTCCTAAGTGAAACCTGGGTCCTAGTCTAGGGGCACAGAGAAGTTCTGCTTCAGACAGGAAGCAAAGGGCACCGTGAAGCATGTGGGTTGCTGGATGTAGGACACCCTGGATGTCTCTCCAGCTCTGAGCCCGCACAGGCCCTGCTCCTCTCTGTGCCCTGGTGCCTCTCACCGAGTCCTCAAGTTAGGAAAAGGGGCCGATGGGCGTCATCTGTGACCCCACTGTTCTGCTAAGAACTTTGCTTCAGGTGCTTCTGGGCCTGCCCCGGCGCCAAGGGCGGGGCTGGAGGGAGAAGGGAAGCAACAACTTCACCTGGAGCAGGAAGGGTGACCGCAGAGCAGCAGCGCAGGCACGCCTGTCCCACAGTGCTCTGGGCTTCACGTGGAAGCTGCAGAGCAGGGGGCTTCATGGGAGAGGCGGGAGAAACACAGCATCTTAAAGCAGCTGTGTCGGTGTCAGGAGCCAAACCCTGTTGCCTCTGGGCCCTTGCAGGTCTGCCCCACCTCCGCCTGGCTGGCCCAGTCCTGATGAGTGAAGGCATTCCCACAGCGGGTGAAAGGGCAGGCCAGGGACTCGGCCTTGAAACAATCTAGCACCCAGAACAGTGTGCTCGAGACGTCATCTGGCCTCTGAGAGACAGAGGAGCCGTGCATGGTGGGATCTGCCCCTTGCCTCTTGCATTTGATAACAAGAACCAACTCCTGCAACTTTTACATTGCCCTGCCCCTGGTGGCATTTCCTTTCTTCTTTACAGCCCTTCCACTGCATTAACTATAGGGTGGAAGCACTTTAAAAAAATCACTTATTATTTATTTACTTGAAAGGCAGAATTAGAGAAGGAGAGACACAAAAAGAAGTCTTCCATCCACTGGTTCACTCCCCAAATGGCTACAATGGCTGGGGCTGGGCCAGGCCGAAGCCGGGAGCTTTATCTGGGTCTCCCACGTGGGTGCAGGGGCCCCGCCCACTAGGGCCATCCTCCGCTGCTTTTCCAAGCACCTTAGCAGGGGTCCGTGTGAGATGCTGGCAATGCAAGCGGTGGCACAGTGCTGCCTGCCCCCCCCCCCATTTCCTAACAAGGTTACCTCCTCACCCACACTGCAGGGCTTAACTGCTTCACCCTCTTTCCCCCACAGGCGTTGTCTGTGTCCTTACTTGTGCCCCTCACTGCCCAGCTGCTGCAAGGCCATCTAGCAACCTCCTCCAGCCACAGCTGGGCACCCTAGTGGCACCTGCAGCACCTCTGGTCCAGTCCCAGGGAAGGCGTTAGGGGTAGGGGTCGGGTCCTAAAGACCAATGTCAAGCCTCAACTGCAGCCTGATCACAGCCACTGGGTGTCTGTCTCCCCGCCCCCTCCCCCACCCAGGGTCCTCCGTGCGCCTGCCCCCACTGCAGTGGCTCTCTTCCTTTGTCCTAGCAATCGGAAGTCGCACCGTGCACCAGGGGCGGCACTAGGCCAGGCACCCTGGACGCTATGGTGCCCCTGCGGGCCTGCGAGGTACGCCAGCTGCTCCACAACAAGTTCGTGGTGATCCTGGGCGACTCGGTGCAGCGCGCCGTGTACAAAGACCTGGTGCTTCTGCTGCAGAAGGACTCCCTGCTCACTCCGAGCCAGCTCAAGGCCAAGGGGGAGCTGAGCTTCGAGCAGGACAAGCTGCTGCAGGGAGGCCAGCTGGACACCCTGCATAATGGCATCACCTACCGCGAGGTGCGCCAGTTCCTCTCGGGTCACCACCTGGTGCGCTTCTACTTCCTCACCCGCGTCTACTCCGAGTACCTGGAGGCCGTCCTGGAGCAGCTGTGCACTGGCGAGCACGCGCCAGACCTGGTCATCATGAACTCTTGCCTCTGGGACCTCTCCAGGTATGGCCCTGAGTCCGGGCAGAGCTACCTGGAGAACCTGGCCAAGCTGTTTGCACACCTGGGCCAGGTGCTTCCCGCCTCCTGCCTGCTGATCTGGAACACAGCCATGCCCGTGGGCCAGAAGATCACTGCGCGCTTCCTCCCACCGGAGGGACAGCTGGACGCTGCCTCCCTGCGCGCCCGCCTGGTTGAAGCCAATTTCTACTGCTTCGCTGAGGCCAGGAAGCACGGCTTTGACCTGCTCGACTTGCACTTCCACTTCCGCCACGCGGGACAGCACCGGCACCACGACGGGGTGCACTGGGATGCACGTGCCCACCGCTGCCTCTCGCACCTGCTGCTGGAGCACGTGGCCGACGCCTGGGGCGTGGAGCTGCCCCACCGCGCCCCTGCAAGTAGGTGGGTCCGAGAGGGCCCTGCAAGGGGGCGGCGGGGCCGTGGCACCCGGAGGCAGCCCTCAGCCGGCAGGGACATCCTGGCTCAGCCACTGCCCCCTCCCAGCCGTGCCCCCTTGCTCCCGCTCCGGCCCCCTCTCCTGCCCACGCCACCCTGCCCCCTCTCTCCTTACCCAGGGATGCCCCAGCTCCTGTTCTGTCCCCAGGAGTCCTACTTCAGCTCAGACCCTCCCTTCCAGGGGACTCCATTCTGTTTCAGCCCAGGTGCCCCCTCCCCCACTCAGCCAAGGTTTGCCATGGAAGCCAACTTGATGTTTGGTCCCCCCCTGCCTGGGCCCTGCCTCCCCTCACCCTGTGTCCAGCGGCAGGCCCTGGTGGTCCACAGAGGCTTCCCCCGGAACCCGCCCCGGGGCCCCTACACACCCTGCAGAGGGCGGCCTAGGCGTCCCGGCAGGCGCGCCCCGGCTACCCAGAGCCCCGATGCAGGCCTGACCCCTGCTCATGCCTGGGATTGCCTGAGCCTTGGGGGCCCCATGGAGGGCTAGAAGCACGGTCAGATCCTGCTGTTGTCGCCTGTGGTCTCGCCCCGTCCCTGGGAGTGACCGAACCTGACTGCCTCCCCACCCATTCTCACCGTCGTTCTGTGAATGTGGAATCGAAATAAAGAACTTGCCTCAGAGTCGCTGTGGGTTCTGTGGTGTCCGCGTGTGATGGGTGCCTCTCCTTGTGGCTAAACGCAGCTCTGTGGGAGGAAGGCCGGTGCTCACCGAGGAAATGACTTACTAAAACAATTCTGAGGGTTTCCACAGATGGAGCTCACTCCTGCCAGTGTGATTCTCAAAGAGTCAGTGCGTTCCACAGCTGCAGTAGCCCTCCTGCTCCGCTGTCCATCCCAGTGTAGCTCCGTGCTCAGTCCAGCGGCAAGTCCAAGGGCTCCCTGCCAGAGTCGGGGCAGGGGAGGGGGAGGCGGGAGGAGTCCCAGACAGCGCAGGCGGTGCTTCCTGACCCTCACCTCAGGTCACCTCAGGTCGGGCGGGGGCCTGTTCAGACGCTGGAGTCGCACCCCGGAAAGGCTGGGCTTGGGCTTGGATGTGCTACAGCTTTCTGGACAGCAGGGTTCTTGTTCTGTTAGCTGGTGAGATGTGACTGCATGACGAGAAGCGGCTGGGAGAAGATCGCCACGGGAGAACTGCCCAGCCGCCGTGAGTCCACCGAGGGGCGCAGGGCTCCTGGGGAAGGCGGCCTGGTCTCGCTGACCTGTGGCCTCCACCCCGGCCCCGCGTCCAGGGCAGCAGCTTCTTCAGGAAGTGTGCGCAGGCGCCTGCCCCGAAGCTCTGAGCTTTCGTCCTGTAACGAGGGGTGGGCCACTCACGCACAGGGAAGGGGTCCAGGGAGAAGGGGGGTCTGCCTGGAACAGGGGTGCCCCCTGCTTGCCTTCCTGACCAGACCCTCCGGATCTGTCAGGGCCAGGTGACAGCAGGACGTCCTTGCCAGCGCAGTGGCCACGTGGCTGACCCGGAGGTGTTGAGTCCTTGGTCTCAGGAGCACCTGGTGCTGTGCTCGTGTCCCCGTGTGCCCTGACACATGAGTGCGTGTGTGCACGGGAGAAGCAGCCTGGACGGTGTCTCCAGCACAGCCCGGACAGACTGGAAACGAGAGCCTGGTGAGGCGGAGCTCGCCACGTACCAGCAGTCAGGACGGCACCTGCCTGGCCAGCGTCCATGACGCAGAGTCCTGTGCCCGTCTGTCTCTGCTGACCTCGGCCCACAGGCTGAGCCAGTGGCCTTCGTCTGGCCGAGCGGCAAATTCGATGTGCGACTGGAGGCTGCCGGTGTGTCCTGTGTGTCTGCCCGCGTGCACACGGGGTTGGGAGGTGCTTTCTCTCCCTCACCGTGGGCTCTCAGTCTGCCTTCTGATCATGCTGGAGGAAACACCGGGACCAGACGTGGACCCGCCACAAGTCCACTGTCCGGTGGCTCCACGGTGCCAAGCACCCTGCCGCTGTTCTGTCCGTCGGTGGAACAGGGAATGTGCACCTGGCTGCCGCAGGCTCCCTGACTGAAAACACCCTGCTCCTTGCATCAGGAAGCGACTGTCACTCAGCAAGTAGGAGGAAAGCCAGCGCTCTGGCCTGACCTGGCCCCGGCCCCAGCCCACTGCATTCAGCTTCTATCCTTGACTCGCGCGGTTTTCTGGAAAAGGAGGAAAAGGCAAAGTTAAGGAGGACACTGGCATCTAGGCAGCATGTGTCTCCCCCAAGACTCTCACACTGAAGGCCAGCGCTTCCGTGCTGTGCCGACATTTCCCACGGGTTCCAGGAAAGCGAGGCCAGTGTCTGCGCACCCACGGAAGCTCGCCTCAGCTGCTGATGCGCCAAGGCCGCGGCTGCACCCCCGCAAGCCCCGGGCTACAGAGCTGCTCTGGGGGACCCAAGACCTTAGCGCCGGACTGCTTGGAAGGCCTGGGTCATCACGGCTTCTGTCCGGGGAAGGATCTGCCCTGCTCCAAGCTGCCTGCACGTGTGTGTGTCTGGTTAGCAGCAGTGTTGGCTCTGTGGGTCTGGGACTGGCGCGGAAATGGCTCTTTGGCCCAAACGATATGGAGTAGACCAGGGATGCTCGCCTGCTCCTCCTCAGGGTGGAGGAAGCAGAGGGCCAGCTACCCTGGCAGAAAGTTCCAGGATGTGGCCAGTTCAGCCTGCAGTGATGGGGCAGCCCACGTGCTCAGTGCAGAGGGAGGCGTAGACGCTGGGTGCACAGTGAGGTGTAGACACTCGGTGCAGTGAGGTGCAGGCACTGGGTGCACAGTGAGGTGCAGGTGCTCTGCAGAATGAGGTGTAGACGCTGGGTGCAGAGTAAGGTGTAGACTTAGGTGACTTAAGGTGCAGAGTGAGGTATAGACGTTCAGTGCAGAGTGAGGTATAGACACTCGGTGCAGAGTGAGGTGTAGACACTCGGTGCAGAGTGTGGTGTAGACGCTCAGTGCACAGTGAGGTGTAGACTCTGGGTGCAGAGTGAGGTGCAGGCACTGGGTGCACAGTGAAGTGCAGGGCTCTGTGCAGAGTGAGGTGTAGACACTGGGTGCAGAGTGAGGTGTAGACACTGGGTGCAGAGTAAGGTGTAGACACTCGGTGCAGAGTGTGGTGTAGACACTCGGTGCAGAGTGTGGTGTAGACGCTGGGTGCAGAGTGTGGTGTAGACACTCGGTGCAGAGTGAGGTGCAGGCACTGGGTGCACAGTGAGGTGCAGGTGCTCTGTGCAGAATGAGGTGTAGACGCTGGGTGCAGAGTAAGGTGTAGATGTTCAGTGCAGAGTAAGGTATAGACACTTGGTGCAGAATGAGGTATAGACACTCGGTGCAGAGTGTGGTGTAGACGCTCAGTACACAGTGAGGTGTAGACGCTGGGTGCAGAGTGAGGTGCAGGGGTCTGTGCAGAGTGAAGTGCAGGGGTCTGTGCAGAGTGAGGTGCAGGGCTCGGTGCAGAGTGAGGTGCAGGTGCTCTGTGCAGAATGAGGTGTAGACTCTGGGTGCAGAGTGAGGTGCAGGGGTCTGTGCAGAGTGAGGTGTAGGCGCTGGGTGCAGAGTGAAGTGTAGACACTCCATGCAGAGTGATGAGGTGCAGGGCTCGGTGCAGAGTGCAGTGTAGACGCTCGGTGCAGAGTGAGCCTACACACCCCTAGACTCTCCGTGAAATGACTGGCTGATTTGACAGGCACTGTATCTGTGAGGCACTCGGTGGTGTCCAGCACACTGTGCACTCTGAAGCTTCGTGTACAAACACATCCACAATCCGCTGTTGTCTGACTGCAACGTGAAAAGAACGAAATGTAGGAGGAAGGTGTATTGTTGTGTGTAATGTTTATTTTAGAAATAAAAACTAAAAAGTAGCTAAAATAACTGCTTTAGCGAGTAATGCATTTACCAGAAATCTCTATTTCCACAGAACCCGGAGTGCTGGTGCCACAAAGATGTCCACTTGTCCTGGAGACGAAGCACTGCCTCCGATCGCACAAGCACCCACGGGGCCACCGACCGGCGTCCGGATGCCGAGCCTGTCTGGTTTCCTTCTTAGTGTCTTAGAGACGGTTTTCAGCCTCTGCCTGGTAGAGAACATTTCACTCTTTTTGGCAGCTGGGTCCCACCTTAAGTGCAAACTCTGGCTGTGTCCGCGCAGAGCCTGCATCACACACACGCGGAGGGCTTCCGGCTCTGCCCCCACAGTCCCAGTGTCCCGTGGGTGAAGGCCAGCGCCCAGGTCTGGCCATCCTCCACTGCCATGATAGGAACGGACGTGGCTAGGGGCCTGTGGCCTGCGGAAGCCTGCTGAGAAGTCACTGCCTTCCTCCCCTGCTCCTCCCAGGGGCAAACACACACTCACGTGCACACGCACAAGGCTGTGCTCACGTCTCACTCAGGGACCCGAAGGTGCTGAGGGTTACAGGTGAGTCAGCCAGAGGCCTTCAGAGCCAGGGTGAGACAGAGAGGACGCACAGGGACAGTGCAGACAACCCCGGGGCAGCGGCAGCCGGGGCACCTCAGCTGCCTCCTGGGACATGGCAGGCCTTGCCTTTGAGGAATCCCAACGAGGGAGGTCAGGACCCTGGGGAGTCTCCTTGGCCAGAGCACAGGGCCGGCGAAGGCCAGTGGAGGACAACAAAGGTCCAGTCCTGGTGCTGTGACGTCGCCGCAAGCCGCGCTCTGGGACCCCTCATGGGTACTATCTCAGCACTCGCGGGTCAGAAGCCCCAGACAAGCCTCCGGGCTGCGTCCCGTCGGGACTGGGGGAACCAGCTTTCCTGCCTCTCCCAGCCGGAAGCCGCTGTAGTCCTCGGCTCGCAGCCCCAGGTTCGACTTCACAGCTAGGTGGGCACAGTGTCTCAAGGGGTGGCTTCTGTTCTGGGCCCACATTTGAGGCCCTGTAGTGACAGTGATGTCCCTGACGGTCAGGCCCCTCTCACTGACCAGCAGCCCTGTCCCTGGTGGTCAGGCCCTCTCACTGAGCAGCAGTCCTGTCCCTGATGGTCAGGCCCCTCTCACTGACCAGCAGCCCTGTCCCTGGTGGTCAGGCCCTCTCACTGAGCAGCAGTCCTGTCCCTGATGGTCAGGCCCCTCTCACTGACCAGCAGCCCTGTCCCTGGTGGTCAGGCCCTCACTGACCAGCAGCCCTGTCCCAGATGGTCAGGCCCCTCTCACTGACCAGCAGCCCTGACCCTGGTGGTCAGGCCCCTCTCACTGAGCAGCAGTCTGTCCCTGGTGGTCAGGCCCCTCTCACTGACCAGCAGCCCTGCCCCTGGTGGTCAGGCACCTCTCACTGAGCAGCAGTGTTGTCCCTGGTTGTCAGGCCCCTCTCACTGACCAGCAGCCCTGACCCTGGTGGTCAGGCCCCTCTCACTGACCAGCAGCCCTGTCCCAGATGGTCAGGCCCCTCTCACTGACCAGCAGCCCTGACCCTGGTGGTCAGGCCCCTCTCACTGACCAGCAGCCCTGACCTGGTGGTCAGGCCCTCTCACTGACCAGCAGTCCTGTCCCTGGTGGTCAGGCCCCTCTCACTGACCAGCAGCCCTGCCCCTGGTGGTCAGGCACCTCTCACTGAGCAGCAGCCCTGTCCCTGGTGGTCAGGCCCCTCTCACTGACCAGCAGCCCTGACCCTGGTTGTCAGGCCCCTCTCACTGACCAGCAGCCCTGACCCTGGTGGTCAGGCCCCTCTCGCTGACCAGCAGCCCTGTCCCTGGTGGCCCAGTGCCTTCTCGCTGACCAGCAGCCCTGTCCCTCCTCAGCCCCCAGCTCTTATGCTGGCTGACATGACAGTCGCTGGCTCCAGGGTTTAGGGCGTGGACCTTCTGGGGACTCCTCCCCCACCCACCATGGGTTCCAACCAAAGCCAGAAAGTTCCGGGAGCCAGGCCGCCTGTGCCCACTCTTCATGCAGCGGGGAGAGGTGGCTGTTTTCAGACTCCAGATGGCTTCGGTCCAGTGGTTCTGTTGCTGTTAGCTGGGATCCCAGCAATCAGCGTCGTCTCCAGCCCGTCTCACACTGTTCTGCTGCTGTTATAGATGACTTTGATTAATAAGAAATGGGGAAGGAAGTTAAATATTGATAAGCGCAGCTTGGTGTGTTCAGCTTTTGCAAAGAGAAAGGGCTCTTGGGAGGGGAATCAAAAGGGATCTCAGTACTGGAAAAACTGGGTCCCGGCCCAGCGTCTGGAAGAATCAGGCCACTGGGGGTCCCACTGGCCCTGCACAGCTCCAGGGCGAACGCTGTTTTGGGGAGATTTGAAAACAGATTTACAAATGCACTTCATCTTCCCACTCGCCCGTGGTTCGATCAGTTATTCACGCCTGAGTGGCTTCCCTTCAGGACTACCCGGTCTGCTGCCTTGGTGGACCCCAAATGAGAATGTCGGGGGAACAAAATGCACACAGCATTTCCAGAGAGAAGCCAAGAGAGCAGAAGCCCCACGCTGTGCACAGCCCGAGATGGAACCCCTGGGAGGCAGGGAGAGCAGACAGGACAGCAGGGCCTCCGCCCAGCACTGCATGGGAGGAGGTCAAGGGTCTTCATTTGTAAGCTGGACCAATGTGAAAATTCTCCTTTGTAAAATGTCATGCAGGGGCTGGCGCTGTGGCAAGCTGAGATAAGCCATGGCTTGCAACACCTGCATCCCACGTCAGAGTGAGGGTTTGAGTCCTGGCTGTTCCACTTCCCATCCAGCTTCCTGCTAATGTGCACCCCAGGAGACAGCAGGTGGTGGCTGAAGCAGCTGGGTCCCAGCAACTCACATGGGAGACCCGGACGGAGTTCCTGGCTCCTGGATTCAACCTGACCCAGCCACGGCTGTTGTGGCCACTTGGGTTGGGGAACAAACCAGCAGAGGAAGATCTCTCTGTGTGTGTACGTGTGTCTCCCTCTCTCACATCGCTCTGCAAATCCTAAGTGAAACCTGGAACAAACGCGCCCTGACTCGGCCGCCTCGAGCCACACGGCAGGGATGGCGCTCCGCTGCCAGGCTGCTCAGGTGTGCGCGTGAAGAGCAGCGCAGCCCCGGCCACACCGTCCCACCACGGTGTGCACGCGGTTCTTCTGACTCACTCCGGGGGACACCACACTGGGACCCGGGGTCATGCCTGCAGCTGTGCTCAGACTGACTGTCACACAGTGGGTGTGCTAGCAAACACAACTCATGGGTCTTCTTTCTCCCAAGATTGCCCTCCCCACTTCTGCAGTCTAATTCCTCTTTACGTAGAATTCTAGGACTCATCTTCTCAGCGTATCAAAGATGTGCGACAGCCTTACGGCATCCACGCTTCAGAAGAAAATTCACCAATCATCGAAATCTCTGTTGCTCGCCGGCGCCGCGGCTCACTAGGCTAATCCTCCACCTGCGGTGCCGGTACCCCGGGTTCTAGTCCCGGTTGCTCCTCTTCCAGTCCAGCTCTCTGCTGTGGCCTGGGAAGGCAGTGGAGGATGGCCCAAGTACTTGGGCCCTGCACCCCATGGGAGACCAGAAGGAAGTACCTGGCTCCTGGCTTTGGATCAGGGCAGTGCACCGGCCGTAGTGGCCACTTGGGGGGTGAACCAACGGAAAAAGGAAGACCTTTCTCTCTCTCACTCTAACTTTGCCTTTCAAAAAAACTTTTTTTAAATAAATAAATAATTTTAAATAAAGGAAATCTCTGTTGCTGTGCACATCCAGGGCCTCCGGCCTCTGCTCTGCTGCCATTACTCGTCAGCAGTCCATGAACCGTGTCTGGGTGAGATTTCTGTGCATTTGTCCTGCACGGGATTCTCTGAGCTTCTGCCTCTGTAGGCTGATGTTCTGCTAAGTTTGCAAGTTTGTAGCCATTAAGTATTTAAATTTTTTTTGCATTGCATTCTTCTCTTTTCCTCTGGAATTCTGGTAACACAAAGTTAGCTCTTCTTGTGTCGTCTTGGGGGAGACTGTCTGCTCCGAGAGGGCCATTCCCACGATCTCCCTCAAGACACTGGCACTGCTGCACTGTCTGTGCTGCCAGGAAGGCCATCAGTGGAACCTTCCCCCAGCCACTGTATTTCCCAGTTCTAGACGTTCCATTTGGCTCTTTTTGGTACCATATTTATTTGGTAAGGTTTCCTATTGTTCTTTCCTGTTCAAGAGCATTTGGCTCTAACTTTTAAAGTATTTCAAAACATCTGCTCTCATGTCTTTGGGAGAAAATTCTAACGTGTGTCTTCTTGGCTAAGACATCCATTGGTGATTTTTCTAGTATGAGATGGAATTTTTCTGGTTCTTCCTATACTGAGTATTTTGGATTTTATACTTAGCCTTCTGAAATTTAGCTATGGGACTGTGGTCTTTTTATTTTTTAAGATTTATTTTACTTGTTTGACAGGCAGAGCTACAGATATAGAGTGAGAGACGTCTTCCATCCACCAGTTCACTCCCCAAATGCCCAGAATGGTAAAGGCTGAGCCAGACCAAGCCAGGAGCTTCATCCAGGTCTCCTACATGGGTGCAGGGGCCCAAGCACTTGGGCCATCTTCCACTGCTTTCCCAGGCATATTAGCAGGGAGCTAGATTGGAAGTGGAGCAGTAAGGACTTAACCTGGAGTACATAGGGCATACTGGAATTGCAGGTGGCGGTTTAACTGGCTGCACCACACTAGCACCGGGACTGTGGTCTTTTTAAATCCTATACTTTTGAGGTTTTCTTCCAGCACACGACTGACCTGCATGGTCAGGGCTGCAAGATCTATGCATTCAGGATAAGTTCTCTTTACAAAGTCTCTGCTGTGTTGTTACACACTCCTGTGTGTTCTGCCAGTCACCCTGTGTGCTGTCAGACATATGTGTGCTGTCAGACATGTGTGTGCTGTCATACGTGTACTCTGGCATACATGTGTGCTCTGTATACATGTGAGCTATCACACATGTGTGTGCTATCAGGCACATGCGGGCTCTGTCATATACGTGCACTGTCATACATACGTGTGCTGTCAGACATGTGCTCTGACATACATGTGTGCTGTCATACATGTATGTGCCATCAGGCACACGTGGGTTCTGTCATATATACATGTGCTGTCAGACATATGTGTGCTGTCGTCAGCCTGTGTGCAGCAT